TGCAAGCCTCCACCATCGACAGGCATAACGCAGTTTGTTCAACTGATTCCAAACCAAAAAAAAAAGGAAAAAGAAAAAAAAAAAAGTACAATCTCAAAAGTTAAGTTAGAAACTAAGTTCACACATTTTCTTTGGGACCAGGAATCTGTACATAGTACAAAATATACATTTATTGAACTTTCTGTAAACACACAGTTTGAATTGTGTAAAACTGTAAATAGTGGGTGAACTACGTGGAGAATAATTTATTATATATTGTTATACATTCTACTTAAGGAAAATAGTTATGCTCTTGTATATTACTCTGTTAAATTTATAAATTTCATAATGAAGCTGTGTAATCTGCAAACATGCTTTTCAAGCTTAAATCTCTCCATTCGTAACACACATTTATACAGGTCATCAATGAAAAAAGTTACACTTTCCACAAAATAGATATAAAGAGGTCATGAATTCTCTAAAAAGACAGGCACAGCATGTCACTACAAACGAGACTCTTATGGTACGGTGTGGAGTCAATTCTGTGAGAAGACAGGTGAAAACTCTCTAATTCAGCATGTTTGTACGTGGTCTTAGGAACAAGACAGATGCTAGAACCCAACATCTCTGCTTATAAAGATTTATCAAACAGCTGGTCCTGGAAGTCAAAGCTCACACTGCTCAGATATCCAGCACTCCCTGGCTGGGAGAACCTCAGCTTTTGTCTCCTATCAACTCTTGGTCACGAGTAATTGAGTTTTCCAAGCAGTGAAATACCTGGCACCATTTGCCAAGAACATTTGCATAATTCAGCACTTACTCCAAAAAGTGGATTCCTGGCACTGAAGAGTTAGATCTGGTTAATAAATACAATTTAACTCTTGGTGCCCAAGGTCATCAGCAAGAACAGGCTGGGAAACCCCAGCTCCCACAGGCTGCAGGGCATTAACCTGGGGAACGTGGGGTAACAGCATCCCAGCACTGGTGTGCAATGCCCAGTTTCCAATTTAAGGGGCTGGAAATTCCAAATTGCAGCAGACTTCTCAGTCTGGCATCACTCAGCAGGAATAAAAAGTTCCCCTATAAACACTGTCAAAGATCCTTTCACAGAATGGTCCATAGAATGGTCTGGGTTGGAAGAGCTTTAAAGATCATCTACTTCCAACCTTTCAGGAGTCTATCAGTGGACATGGCTATAATTCTATGTAAATTTAGGACATTTATTACTACATTTTCAAGGTCTCATTATCTTTCTATCCTGGATACGTCATTTTGGATTTCATTTGTTTGCAGCTAAAAGCACTGCATCAAAGATCAAACCTCTTAAACTGTGCTCTTCTGAGGTTTTAAAAGCAAAAAAATTCTTAGCCATCTAAAGAATTAGGAAATTATCTCATATTAACCACACATTTTGCTTTAACATTACCACTGTCTTCCCTTTGGCTTTGAAAGATTTTTCAAAACCTAAACTGAATAAAGATTACATTTGTTTTTCATTCCAAGAGAAGTGGGATAGTTAAGGCTCCAACAACACGTGCAGAATTTGTATGTTGTGAGCAAAAGCTCCATCAATGTCAGCAGGATGTAAAGTTAAGTTTGTGCCTGATTTTCCCCTGTAGTGTGAACAGTTGTGATCCAGCCTGAAATCCCAACAGAGAAAATGAAATTGGGTACCCAGTATTTGCACTGCTCAGACTGGCTGGAATTCAGTAACAGCTGAATTGAAACTCTGGACCTCGATAGGCATCAATAGAATAAAAGTATTGAATGTTTGAGGACCTGCCAGTCTGTTTCCCCATTATTCCTGAAGGCATTTCTCAAAATAAGTAACAATGACAGCTCCTTCAGCTCCAGAGGCCTCCTCACAACACACATGGGGAGTCCTGTCCACCTGGAAAAATCCCACATTCCCACCAAGCTCTTCAGAGCCAACACTTCAAGGAAGCAAAAAGGAGTTTCAGCTTTGCCTGGATGTTACTGAGCAAGCTGAGAAGTGCTGATGCTGTGCTCCTGAAGGAAAATGGTACTGCCTGACACAGCACCCACCCCTCAGATAAATGGCTGTGAGCACAGCAGTGAGCACCATTGGTTTTATTCTTCCCATTTTGGAAAAAAAAAAAAAAAAGAAAGAAAATAAGAAAGCAGGTGCCTAGTGATATTTTAAAAAGTACTTGGGCAGGAATCAGTTCAAGTTATGTGTAAAAATCTGGCTATGCATAAACCACTCTAGAAATCTGACCTGTCATCCCACTTCTACCCAAATTTTGACACTTTCAGATTTTTTTTGGTTCTATAAAAGGCATTTTTTAAGTTAAGCCCACTTCCCCAGCTTCTGTAGTGCAGAAGTTGGGGGGTTTTGTGGTCACTGCATTTAAAGCAAACCTCTCCCAAAACACTCTCCTAAGACATCAGTATTACTCCTGTCCCCTTAGCCTGGAAGCAAAGACTTTAGAAGAAAGTGTACAAGAGATGGGGAAAAGAAAGATCTGTATTACTGCTGCTCAAAAGGAACACCAAACAAAAACACAGAGAAAATGAGGAAAATGCACAAAGCCTAAGTAACTACAAGTCAACAACTCTGACACAATCAGGAGATTAAAACTTGACATTTTTTTCACATACTAAGCAAATGCTAAAAACACTTGTCATTTTTCTAGACACAAATTGTCAATGGGAGACAATGTAAATTCAACATGTCTAATTTTTTTTCTACTTGAATGCATTTAGTGGTCCACGGGAGCCAATGTAAACTCAACTTTTAACATGTCTAATTTTTTTTCTACTTGAATGCATTTAGTGGTCCATGACAATAAAGAGAAGGTTCAAATTTTCCTCCAGCTTCCTGACTTCCTGAAAACATGAGCCACAGCCCAGGTGGCTGCTACCTCATTTACAAAGCAATGTTATTAAGCCAAATAAGGCCACAGAGTGCTTCAGATGTGCACACCTGGGTCTGCAGAAAGCTGCAGACTGTGCAAGCACTCCAGAGAAAAAGCTCACAAAAGACTGGAGTCTCTGATCAGTATTTCAGACAGGTCAGTCAAAATTATTTAGCCACAGATTGATACTTTTAAATTCTGCTCCTTTCTTACAGCTTCTAGCAGGAATCACATTGATTTATTTGTGCTACAGCATCCTGGAAATTCACGTTTGGAGCCTCTTTTCACCACTTAGAGAGTCAAAAAACCTCTCTAGCCAGATGGGGAGTTTACACCCTGAGCTGGTCCATAAAGGCTCAGGTATGATCACCTCAGACACAGGTACTTGTAGCAACAAGGAGCCACACTCATTATCTAGGAGACATTATTTTCACAGCTGGTAGAGCTTGGCACCAAGCAACAATTCATTTTCTACACAAGAATGTCAGGCACAGCCCTACTGTAGCTCTACAGTTTTGCTGTCTCTGAACCTATGCAAGGTACATCAGGTTTGGATCAAATACTGTATTTGCCAAAGGATGAGGAAAAGGGCACTGGCTTTCCTAAAGGTGAGCCCCTTTCAGACATGGCCAAGGAACTGAAACACACCAAGTCATTTGTGCACAAAAGCAGTTCAAGAAGGTGCAGGCAGAGATGGAGGTGAACATCTTGGCGTGATGAAATCCTGATGTACATTGAACTAAGGTAAGCTGTAAGAACCATATCATTATCTAATTGTGGCAGCCATGCTGTCTCCCCCACGGGACAGAGCTCCAAACCTCCAGAGAATGCAAACACAGAGGAAGGTTGTGAGCACAGGACTCACACACAAGACATTGAGACTGAAGTTTGATGGTTCCAGTTTAAAGAAAAGAAACATTTATCAAAGCAAAATTCTTGTCTTAAGTGGGGAAAGATCTGCAAAGGCTTCGATGCTCCCTACACAGCCATCATTTATCTGGGTGTGGTTTCCCAAACTGTGGCAGGAGGGGTGGGGCAAGCATTCCTTTGCTCTCAGTCCTGTCTCCCCACTCTTCATTTTTCCTGAGCACCAGCAGCCCACAGCTGGATATCAATTCACCCAGCTCAAGAAAACAGTTTTTTTTCTTTCTCCTAACTGCACACCCACTAAGGACAAGCACTGGCACAAAAAAAAAAAAAGGCAGTAGGGGCAAACTAGGAGCAATGGCTTAGTCTTGGCCTAAGATCATGAAGCCACATCCTTAGACCATGAACTACTAAAAATGGAATGCAATAGGAAGTGTCTCCTACCCCAGTGTATAAAATTAAGGGGGGATTCTTATCAGGGAATCAAATGAAGTGAAAACTGATCCCTAATTTTGTTAAATCATCTCAAGCTTCCAACTCTTGAACTGAGCAAAATGGCTCAGACATGAACCTATCTAGTGACAGCACCAGCTTTGCAATAAATAATGTAATGGACATTGAAGTCAGCTTGCTACAAGTGAATGTTGAAGAGATCAGCTTTGGCACCTGCAGGAACTCAGGAACTCTCAAGGTAAGCGCTCCCATGACTCATCTGCTGCTCAGTATTCACCAGGCACCGCTGACACAACCTACGCCTGCCGCAGCTCAGAGCACTTCAGCACAGGCTGATGGAATTCCTCTCTCCCATTCTGACTCCAGCTCAGAGTTTAACTGAGTGATGGCTGTGCCTCAAGGCTGTGGTGCTGCTGCTCCTGGGCCAGCTGAAAGGCTCAGGCTCTGTTCCTGCCCCAGCACGAGTAGCGGGGACTCCACGGATACAAAGGATTAACAAAGCCTTGCAAACCTAGGATCCTACTTAATGACACTGCATTGAGTTCATCCAACATTGGTTTAAAGCACATTTTAGAAGCCTCTGTCTTGAACATATTTTCAATGCTGAATTAGCGAGAATTATTTGGAACAGTTGTCTATAAAGCAGTTACAGGTATTCTCCCAGAACGATCAGCCAAACATTTAATCTGACTATAACAAAACTCACAGAAACTGTAGCCAGTGAAGCTGTCAAATGTAGAAGGAAAACAAAGTTGCATGGCATACGAAGCAAAGTAGCTTTACAAATGTCATTTCCTTTTAAAAACAAGCAAATCGGGACCATCCTATTTGAACATGTATTTAAAAATACATCTGTTAACATCACACAATTTTCATTTTTGTCACACATGAATCTTTTTCCAAGAGGGAAATAAATAGCACACAATATTTCAAAATAAAAATTGCTGCCTTGCCCCTGAGGTGCTAATGTTTTTAGCATTTAAAAAAAAAAGTTTCTGGTGCAAGAAGGAGATGCACAAAGGTGCAAAAGTGCCTTTTTTCTTTTCAGAGCAGTGAAAAAAGTACAGCTTGCCTCTTTTCTAGGATGCTTTATATACTTAACTCGTTTATTCTGTAATCAAAGTCTGTATCTAAAATGGCAGTGTTTATGCATACATCATAATTCAGTGCTCTGAGCTCATCAAAACGCTGAACGTAGGCGGGAGAGAGAAAGGCCTGAAACGGGCTTTCTGCCACTACCCTCAAACCTACTCACATTGCCTGTAGCAACAGCAGAATTCTTTCCTTCCTAACCTTCAGGAGACCTCGTCAGAAGAGGCTTCAAAAATCTCCTTTGTCACTGAGACAGTTTAAGTGATTATGGTTTGAAGTATGGCTTTTCACACCACAGTTTTGCTTCCGATTTTTAAAGTTTAAAACTCAAAGGTTCCACAGTCCAGTTCAAGGATTTGCAGTTTCCAAAACTAAACTTTAGTCTCTATGAAAAAAAGGACAGAACTTTATCTGCCTAGTCCTAAATTAAGTTTAGCTTTTCGCACTAATACGCCATGTATTATTAAATATGCTCGTTAATTAGGTGCCTGTGAAGCTATAACTTAACATCATTATAGTTTTGCACTCTACAACAAAATTAGACATTTTAAGCATTTATTCATAGGTAGGTAAGGAACTGGTTCTTTAAGCAAAAATTGCTATAAATTTATAAATACAAATAGTGCTTATGTTTTCTTCATTCATGCTTGAACAGATTACAAACTGAATACAATGAAGTTACGTTTAAGCACCCCACATAGACAAGAGGGATAAAAGAAAAGTTTGCTGGTATATACTATACTTAGTTCCAAGACACTATAAGTTACTTTTTCACTGTTCAGTGTTCCCTAACTCTGCATTAGTTTTAAGGCTATATATACAAATATGTATATGTCAAAGTTAGGGAAAGACAAATATAGCAAAATGCATTGTACTACATTTTCCTATCAAAAAGTAATTATACACCAAGTTCTGATTCTGTTTAACTGTAGTAAATGTTACAATCTACTTGTTTTACTGATTTTCCTTTTGAGGAATCTGCCTACTAAATGAGTAAACTACATATTAAATACAATATTCTCAACCAAAAAGACAATACAAGGTGCACAAAACAGCAGTTTTGCAAACACGACTGACTTGAAAACTTAATTTTCGTATGCTCAATGGGAGAAAGCTAAGCTTAAATCAAATTAGTTTATTATCTTATAAAATTTTAAATTAGAATTTTAAACAACAAACAGTTAAATATTGTCAACATGCTATACCTCAAATCACAAGTACTGTTTAACCACTAGTCTCTCATTCTAAGTAAGTGGGTCAATTAAAAACACACACCATAAAATGTTAAAGATTGTCAGGCTTTGACAAATGTATTTTTATCAAACAGTAGGCAAATTCAAACCAATGCACATCTTCAGTAGGGAGGGAAAAAAAAAAAAAAACAACACCAAAAAGCCTGAAAAAACCCACATTTGTAAAAAATAGGGTAACGGATTAATCCCACATCATCCTCTAGCATATGGCTATGTCTTGGGCAATAATCAAAATCCTTCCCATTTTAAAAACGGGCTACCAATTAAGAAAAATATTCTTCCACAAGTAAAATATCATTTACAATGGCACTGACATTTTAAAAGGCAGGAAAAGAAGGAATTACACATTTATGGGTAAATGTCTTGTTTGTTAAATCAAGCTTTATTGATAAAATGGAATTCAAGAGTATTTTTCTTGGAACAGCAGCAGACCCAGCCAATCAGGATTGTAAAAATGCTGCAGACTCCTACTTTATGTAGAAAGTTGTCTTCATGCTCAGTGATTAGTAGTTTCAGGTAAGGGTTAATGAAAAAAGAGGTGCAAAGAACCAAGGTTCTAATTCCAAGATTGGTACATGTATGAACAGGATACTGTTAATAGGGCATGATTTAACTCCACTGAACTCAAAATCACAAATCCCTTCCACTCAACGTGAGAGCAGAAGTGCATCCAAGAAAATGATGTCTGTTTGTTGAAGAATGTGCACTACTCCTAAGTTATTTTTCCATTGCCAAGTGAAATTCACACACTGTAATTTCTGGTAGGTTGCCCATGAGTTCAGCTTTCATATAAACCAAAAAGTTATCTTTAACAGTTTTGTGCACCTCTTGAGCACCTAGCTGGCTAGGCTGCTGCTCCTTGCAATCCAAAACCACAACATGATTTTTAAAAGGGATATATATTGTTGCATCACACAAGCCAAAACATTTCTTCTAACCTTTATAGTGATTTAAAGCGGTTCATAATTAAATATGAGCATTTGTACAAAGACAATTGCACTTTACAAAAACAAAATCATACAACATAAATTGCTGGAGTCTGATTTACAACATGAATTTATGGGTTGAAATCACGTTTACAGAAGTCTGTTTTACAAAAAAGATCAGTTCCTGGGCTAGATGTTGTACTGCTGTAGTCACTCTCACCAACACATCATATTCCCTTCTTTAATTAAGGTTGAGGATGGATGTTAAGAAGGGTCACTGAGGTTGGGCTGCACTTTCATTTGCAGGATGAAACGTGAACTCCACAGCTAGATGAGCAGTTTTACCACATATCATCAGTTGAGGCAGAATCCTTAAAGAAAAAAGAAGGAACCCTTTAAAGTCTGGAGTGCCCATCCTTGCGGCAGTTTCTGGAAAATCCAGACTGAAAAGGGTAAAGACTTAAATCATTTCAGGAGTCTCTTTTCTCTCCCCTTTTAAAAGAAACAGCTTTTAAAAAGTATCTAAACCCCACATATTCCTAATTAACAAAACATCAGAATCAAGAAATTTCAAAATATGACCAAATGTTTCATCAATCCTGAAAATAAGATCCTAGGCATGTTACTCAAAAGCATTTCCAGAGCCTTTCTAGCTATTTCCTGAGTAGTTAGAAATAATACAAAATGGATACTCTCAGCTCACAGGTGTGAGAAAAGAGCAGGATGTGCTCATGTCATGTGCTATCACCATTATCATCCTTTGTCTTCTCAGCCCTCCCTTGCTGCATGGGAAGATACAGACATCAACTGACACCCTGTTATAACTCAGAGCTATTTTAGCACTTTTAATTTAAGGTTACAGAAGTGTAGTTTAGGCAACTGAAGGAAATCGTAATTTTGGATGGTAATGAAACTGCAAGGGGAAAAAAATAAATGTATGTAACAAAAAAATTGAAAGTAGAGACATGCTGTGCTCCAAATCATAATTGTATGGTCACACTACTTGGTATTTCAACCTATCCAATACGTGAGTGTCCCAAAAATTCATTCCATTTAGACCCACAGGCAACAGCAGATTTTGTATAACTACCACAAGCCTGACAAATGTTTAACCAATCCCTGGTTTAACCAGTATTTAATTTTACCAAGTGTTTTTTAATCCATTTGCCTTTGTGTCAGGCCTGTTTCCTTTTCCCTGCTCTGCATGCAGCTTTCCCCACCTCATCAGGTGGGCTCACAGGTTAACCATGAGCAAGTGGGGCCACAGCTCTGCAGCTGAAGTTACAGCTCGATAAGCAGCACAGGAGGCAGAGCAAACTGCTCCTGTGCACCACTTGTGGTGGTTTCAGCATCACATGCTCCTTTTCCACAAGCAATTAAGGGGCAGGATGGGCTTTTACAACAGCTCATCCTGGTGCTTCCACAGCTACACCTCCCCCTCATTACTGAGGCTGCAGGAGGTAGAAATATTACTTCTGTTCAAAAGCACTGCCTTAGTGACTCCTTGGAGAGGAAAGAAGCTAATTAAGTCTCTAGCAATGCCACACATGATAATTTCTTAGCACTGAAGCTCTGCACCCTTCATTCAAACTTGCACACAGAATCCATTGCAAACCAGAGAGGAACAGTTGGCACGGAGGTGTACTTAAAAAAAAAACACAAACTGAAATTGCCCTTTGCAAAAGTACCACCTCCAGCTTTTCCTTCAAGACCAGAAGTAGCAAAGGAGAGCAATTATATGAAAGAGCAAAATGGTTCTTTCAAGAATGAAGAATAAAAGCAGCTCGAGTAAAAACGCAGGAGCTGCTTGCCAACTATTCCATATGCAAATTTCTGTGCCCCACTTGCCAACATGATCACGAAGTTTGTGTACTGTAGGTTTGTAGAACAGCAACATACTACAGAATGTATTTTGAAGGTAAAGCATCCTCTTTCAGCCCCTATTCAGGAATTTTAAAGCTAAAAATAGAATGAAGGCTGCCAAATAAAACTAGTGCACAGTTGTAAGGCCAACGCACAATCTTTATGTCTGGCTGCATTTCACTTCTGTCACATCCAAGCACGGAAGAAATTTCTGCTGATGCTTAAAGGATCAGTTTAACTGCTCTATGAGACACTATTTTCAGTGACAGAATGTTGTTTCTGGTGATCAAACTGCCACTGGGATCATGCTCATGTTCACTGTTTGGTTTTTCCTCCCCTCATCCTGACAGTGGATTTATGTCTCTTTCAGCACTGACATATAAGAACCCAAAGCGTTTGCTTGCTGTAAGATGTTCTATGCTTAAGAATAAAAGTGTTTACACAGTCCATTTGGTAAACTAATATATTCTTAACACATCCATTTAACCTTTAGATACAGCATTTTTCTTCTTGATGTTTAGGAAAAAATATCTCCTATAAAGAATGGGGAAAAAAGGCCCCCCATGACTCTTTCCACCATTTGGCAGCACTTGGAAACCCAAGCAGGACTGAAATAATGAAACTCCAGAGGACAAATGAATCAACCCTACTGAGGGTTGAGATGATGATCAGCAGAAAACAATTACAAAACACAGTCCAAAAAGCACAACACTGTTATTTCTTTCTTGGGGGAAAGGGTCTTTAGCAGAATTTGCAGTATCTTTCTTTACAAAACAGCTCAAATAATTGGGGTGGGGAGAAAGAGAATGTAAGAGAAAAGGTACTTACAGCATCATCATTCCTGTAGGGGTTCAGTCTGTTATACACAGCTTCAATCACACTCCGTCTAGAGCAAAAAAAAAAAAAAAACAAAAAACCCACAAGATCTTAAGGCTGTGTTTTTCTTTTCTTTTTTTTCCCCAAATCAAATTCCCAATTTTAATTTAAATGCAAACTTTAGAAGATTCCAAATTCAGAGAAACATTTTTACTGTAAGTTAGCACTTTAAAACCATTAAAAAAAAATTAAAAATCCTTTAAAACCTTTAGGCTGAAGACAAACAAGGCTGAATATCCCTTGGACTTCAGCAGGAGAAGGGCACAACCTGACAGTCAGGTCTTCCCTTTGAAAAAGGGTAGCAGAAACCTCAGTGGACACTTAATGTCCTTGTCATTTGTGTGCCCAAAATCCACTGCAGTAGTGCCTCATGCATTATGGCATGTATTATGTATTACTTCCATAGGGGAACAGTGTTGTGTTATTTTCTGGACACAAAAAAATTACATTCTGAAGTACATTTTCATTTGTGTTACATCCTAAAATGTACTTTCCATGTGCAGACATGAAAAAAATAGTTCTAGAACAGTACTCTTCTACAATGACATGGCCAATACTCTCCTGCAATTTTTTTCTCAAAAAAACCAACAACTACAACAAAAACAAAAAAAAAATTCAGGTTTGTGTATTGTATCTTCAGAATGAGATAAATTTTGTCTGGTAAAAAATACAAAAAAAATTTATTCAAGCATTTTGACAGTTACCTCCTTTTAAAAAGGCCCCTGCTTAGCATATTTAAGATAGCTTGAAATGAACCTTCATCTCTGAGATTCTTGACTTTTCTAATAGTGATAAAAAATTGATAAGAAATAGATTGATAAAATATGAATACATTTGCAATCGACATGCAAATGAGGAACATGATTTTTATTTATTTCTTTTAACATAGGATGAAAAGCTGACATTCAAAAAACCCCTTGAAAACAGGTAATAAAAAAATCCCAAAAAACAAAACACAAGCAAATGTGAGGTTGAAGGAAGAAGCTGCCTATGCCTTTCCCAATATATAAGGAAAAAACTTTGAAGGGAGAACAGGAAGGAAAGAGGGAAGTAAAAAACAGAAATTGCATATTGGACTTTAAATGCAACTTTCTTTTGGATCCCATTCTGCAGAACCAAGTAAGATGAAGTAGCAGATTGTGATGCAAAACAAACTCCAAAGAGCAACCTTTAAACTGCTGATGAATGCATGCAGAGCAATCACAAAGGAGTGCAAGAGAAGGAAAAAGCAGATGACAAGCTTTGGAATCATCCTGCAACACTGAAGAGTCAGGAACTACCACGTAAAAACATCAGAGTGAATGGTTATAGGGCATGAAAGAAGAGGTTGGATTTAAAGCAATAAAATCAAGCAATTACACACAAGGTACATTACATAGATGGATTGGAAAGTTTCCCATATCTTTCAAGAAATAGGTATCTCTGATTCTAAATACAGGCAGGTTTCTTGAAAAGCATTATTTTCCTTCCAAATTGGCAATAGTGCTTTAAGTTACATAAACATCCAATTAAATCAATATTTCTCTAAGTCCCTATTCAAACTAGCATCACTGAGACACAAAATGCTGAAGTCACATCACTTCAGCATTTCTTCACAGCCATGATGCTACTTCCAGCCAAAGGAGATGAAGAAAAATCAATTTGTATGCTGCATTTCATGAGTAACTGACTCACTCATACTTCAACAGTACAGCAGCCCATCCTAAAGAGATGCTATTATACTTTAAATTGCCATCTCTTCTTCTCCTAGTCAAACAGCTCCTATAAGAACAATATTGTTTTCTAGAAGCCATCTTTACAGTTATCACTTTATAATTTATTCAATTTATCCCTTCATAATTTATTCAATTTTTAATTTTATAATTTATTCAGTTACATGCCTAAAGTCCTGATGTTTTGGTGTAACAATACAAAAATCAGACTCTGAAAGGTCAAAAATACTCTGTATCATATATGCCCAATCCTTTTTAACACAGCATAGGCCCAGGAGGAATCTTTTGAATCAAAAAGCACTTTGTTTGGGATGCAAACAAGCTAAGCACATTGCTTCCTTAAAGACTGAATATTTGGGAAACCAAAAAGCATCACCACTGAAACCTTCAAGGACAAAGCCAGCTGTATAAAGCTACAAATTTAACTTCCCACTTTTCTTTTTTGATAGATTTCTATCTCGCTTTCAGATTTGTCACAAACAGAGAGGAACAAAAGCAAATTTTTAAGCAATTACAACACGGCTACAGACAAGAAAAGAAAGCTGCCAAGCAAAACATTTTATGCATATCACTTCTTGTTGAAATGTGTAACACTTCAACCCAAGTAATTAAAATCAGGGCATTATTTTCACATGTTCAAATGTAACATCCCCCCAGAAACCCCAGTTCATTACAAAAACCAGACACTCAGGCCACCCTTAAAAACCCCTCATTCCTTCCCAAAACTACAGTTTGACATTTAATTTTTGCAATGATTCATAGTCAACTCCATTCTTAGGCTTGTCCTTTTCGGCCAGAACAACTGAGTAGTAAGAGCTGGAGAACAGATCATCATCACCTTTTGTCCTGTGCCCTTCCTCCCTCCCTGCCCCCCAACTTTTTTAAGAGTGGCCTTGCAGTTACAAGGTGATTTAAACCAAACCCCACATGTACACTGATGGGAACTCACTTGCTTGCCAACTCCCCCCCCGGCGGGAGGTTTGGGATGCTCTCAGTTGCTAACGTACGCATCACGTGGACTAAGTCTGGCACTCCTTCACCCTGCTTCTTTATGATCTCTGGGAATCAGAAGTACTTTTTTTGTAAGTGCAGTCCAAATTTAACTTCAAAAGATTGAAACACTCAGTTTTATAAAAAGGCAGCTTAACATTAAAAATGAATAAATTAAAAATAATTAAAGCGACAGACCGTACTCAACATGGTAATTGTTAACTTTGGTTCCATAAGCAAAAACCTGTAACAGATTTGACACAGATTTACTGCTGCTCACATGCTGACTTGGTTTTAGAAATACACAGCTATCTAGTAACAGTGGGGAAAAAAAATCTTTAATGGCTTTCCTGCTATACATTAGACAGAAGATGTAATATCTTCCCACAGTATGCCCAAGGCATGGGGCAGATATTAACACCAGTTTTATCACTGCAACACAATATAAAATACTATTGCCATCACAGAAAACATAGTATTTTCAAGAAATAAAAGGTTAGACACGTCAGAAGTAATTCCCATGGCTGTATGTGTATTAACCAATACTTGTACCTCACTGCATTACAGCAACATGCAAATTTAAGGACTATTACACATAAATTAAAAGCCAGGGACACCACATCTAATTGACAGTTTCATCCTCAGCTCAGAAGATATTTCAATTCAGGGCAGAAACTTAAAGCTGATCCACTCCAGCTTCTGGGTGAAGAGCATCTGTATTGTAGCCACAGCCACATTTGTCAAGACATTAATCCTTTAATTTTGTTCTTAGGCCTGGTTGGTTTGGTGGTTTTTATGAGGTTTTTTTTGTGTTTGCTTTTTTCACTTTTCTCCTCAAGTCAAAAGCACACAGTTTTATCTGAATTCAAGACATTCAAGGTCATATCACCCCTGAAGAGTCATTCCTTAAATAGGTATTTTATGAAATTTAAAGAACAAGAACATCTTTTAAAATGCATCTCATTCATTTCTCTGCAAACATGACCTCTCAGAAGTTGCAAAACTTGTAAATTATTAAGACCTGGTGCTTTTCATCCTCAAGTGAATACTGCAACATGCATACAATAATGTGTACATGTGTGCACATCTATACATGCATGTATGTACATGCACACTATTCTTCATGTAGTAAAGCATTACACAGTTTGAAAACAGTTGGAATTCATCAGTACCACTTTTGTAAAATACTCAAGCATTCACATTTTGCCCTACATTCCAGAAGAACATACGAAGTTTCCATTTTATAATTTGTGAGATAAGGCACATTGAAAGTTTTTAAAACCAACATGTATCCAGTCCTTTTTAGTCAAAACAAAACCTAAAAAACAATTGTGAATTACTTTTTGTGTATGTAATGGTTTTTCAGGGCTGTGTGTGTTTACAAAAACCATCAGCTCTGTTTTGCAGTCAGGCTGTGTAAATTATTTGCAAGGTATAGTGGAAACACTGCCTAGTCCTCAACCAGAATCAAATTCTGCAGCACAGAACTTTAAGCTGTTCACTTCAAAACCTAAATTTTAAACACATGACACCACGCACCAGAGACACCTCAAAAACTTGCCATTTCCTCAAAATCTACAGCCAAAGTTCATTTTACCATCTTACATTTAGCAAAGAAATAATCTATGACTCTTAAATCTGAATAAGAAGCCAAGATCTCAGATTTGGTTTGCCAAGTTCCTTTATTGTGCAATTTTGAACATCTAGAATATGCTACATTGTGCTAGTTCTAAAGTTCTGCTGTACAAAAATAAGGACTTTATAGTTGACCTATACTACACAGTTTCACAACCTGTAACTGCAGTACATTTAACATACAGTCTCCACTAAATGAATACATTTATATTTTGAAAAAACTATAGATAAAGACTGAATGAACACTGAAGACACAACAAATGGAGTCGGTCTGCTAGCTGTGTTTAATTTATTGGAATTATCTTGTTTCAATACACCTTCAAACCTCCCCCCAGTCTTTGATTTACTTTTAAACCTTCTACACATTTTCATGGCATCAAGTACTGGAAAAATGTACTTACAACCCTAAAAGAAAGGATTCAAAAATGGGAATTCCATACAAAGTTTAAGAAAAAGCCAGAACTTTGTTTATGTGAAAATTAGGGAAGGAACATATAACACCTAACTTTAAATTCTTTATCTCTACATAGGTATAAATATTGCAGAGAATATCTATTACGGAATGGTTTTATGCAAAAAAAAAAAAAAAAAAAAGATAACAGAAAAAAAAAAGCTTAGACAAGTTTCTTTTTAGAGTCAACACATCGATAACACATATTAGTGCAAATAATAGCAACACATTTTGGAATGACTGACTACTTCTACCATGAAGTTCACATTACTTTAGAAGTAACATTGATTTATTGCAAGTATTGGCACAAGGATGCTTCTCCACACTTGCTGCTTCTTCCATTATTTGTTGCAGCTACAAATCTGGACCACAAAGACATCAGGAGAGTCTTAAGTGACATAGTAAGTAGAAAAGTTTCTACATTTTTTAGGATCTGAATCATCTCTCCTTATTCAAGATGACCATCATTATTAAATCCTATTCAGTCTTAAAATTTGCACTAGTTTTTAACAGTATAAAGGTATATTCTGGGCCAAGGGGATAAAAATACAACCAGAAAAAAAAATGCACATTAGAAAGGATCGACTCTTATTATCTGTTGGACTTCACGGAGTACTGAAGTGCATAAAAATATGTAATATGCATTTTGATCAAGTTTCCACTTTAATTAATTTTAAATTAAATTGATATTACATATTAGTAAGATCATTCTAAAAGTACTCTTTATATTTTTTAGTTCCTTCAGCCAAAAATCAGGCTTTTAAAGTTAAGCACTGCCACTCTTATAGTATCCTAATAAAAGAGCAAGATTATTCACTGTAGTGTATAAAGTTTCAGATGCTGCAGCAGTCCTACCTTACTAGTCAATAAGGCATTATCCACTTCAGAAACAATGCAATGGCACATTAATTAATTAAGTATATATTAAATATAACAAAGTTATCAACTCCTGTTCTTGAAATTCTGCCTTAGTTCAGGCCTTTCAACTTTCCTCATGCATAAGTCCTAAAAGGCCAAATTCTGCAAACAGCTGATACAAATCTCTGCTGGGTTGAGTAGTGTTTACTAAATATTCATTCATTTAAATAATATTTTTGTGCAACAAGAGACAAAAGGTTAAGGATAACTCTAGATATTAAGCAAAGACCCTTGAGAGGAAGTACAATATATTTCCTCAAGTTGTTCAGACATCATCCCATTAAATTAGTATTAAAGTGCTTTATAACTACATATAGAATCCTTCTGCCTCTATGCAATTATCACACTTTGATCATTCCTGCAAATCTCCTATTTGTATAAATGCAAAGTACCAGCAGCCAAATTCCTTGTATGTACCATAACCACATGCAGGTCCAGTGTTTAGGCAGCTGTACAAAAATGTCAGCTTTCCTCACTGTAACATTCCTGGGGTACGATGAGGCCAGCTGAAGATGCCAGCCTTGGCTTCATCATATTTTCATATTCTAGGCCACGGGTTTGTCTGAGCTCAGACACAATACCTAAGATAAGAAGGCAGCACTTGCCCAGATAAGGAGAGTTACCACGCTGTGAATCACCGTGTGAACGTACAGCACACTCGTTCTTCAGCAGATCTGTGGGTGGGCACACAGAGCAAACTCCTCACAGGCCTGGTGCAAACCTGCTCCCTGCTCTGCCGACACTTCCCTCCCGCAGGGTGACTGCACTGGGACATTCCTGCCACGCTGTCAGGGAGATTCACACCAGCACTGACTGTGCACCAACCTCTCCTCTCAGGCGAGCGTGGAGATGACAAAACAGAAACGTCTGCCTGGGCATTTGTTCAGGGGCAGAACAGATGCAGTTTGCTGAGACCTGGCGAGTGAAGCCTCTGAAAAACGTGGGACTTTCTGCAGGAGCACCCACACAAGTTGTAAGTGCTTTAAAAATTGCACATGGATTTGTCTGAGCCCAAAATTCCCATGCAGGCAAGTTCTCTGTGAAATTTCTGGAGCTGCACTGTGTTACCATCATGCAAGTTAAGGAGGAAAAAAGTGCATAATGTACTCCTCTAACTTACTAATCACTGCTACCATAGTTGTGGAGAACTCTGCCTATCGTGCCCTGTGCTATTAAGGATTCTTGGGAGTATACACACACATAACTAGACTTGTAACACACAGAGGAGTCCACTTCAAAAATAGACTTAACCTATGCAAATAATGCATACAGCATGTCTTAGATTTCAGAAACAAACTCCAAGATGTAGTTGGTTTTAAATATCAAAAGGCACTATAAATGCAGTTTTAATCAGAAATTATTTTGAATCTAATTGATTTCAAATATCATTTTATGTGATCCAAAAAGCCCCAGACTTGCAGTTTCAATTTAAAGTTTAAGAACTCCTGAAATACAAATTTAAAGAAAAATTTTTAAGTTACTATGAGTAAGATGAGTTCCCAGCTTTTGTTTGTCATGAATGCTTAAAGATTAGCTTTGACAAATTTCTGATGTACTTTCAAATAAGTAAATATGTAAGCAGGTGTTTTAAGATTATAGTAATCAAGTTGTAACCCTACTATTACTGGATAATAAAGTATCACAGCTAACTGATTTGTATTTAACTATAAATGGCACTCAAATTACCATCTTCACAGACACTTTGTAAGATATTCTAATTATTTTCTTTAACTCCATGTAACAGGAACCAGGATTCTCTGGTCTGAAGTTAGTGCTGTGAACAGACTCAGGAAGAACACTGGTCATAAATGAATTCTTTGCCATCCTGAATAATTTTCAGGGCTACAGGCTGCTCCACTTTCGTAGCAGAACTTTTTCAGGACATATATGAGTGCCTTTTTCAGAGGTACACAGGATGGCCAATGGCACTTGAAGGTCTATTAAAAAGCCTGTATGAGTTAAGGGTTTAGTTGCTGGAAGGGGAAGGGGGCCAGGGGTCTGTTTAGAAACAAAGTTACTTATTTTTTTTTAAATGATCCACCTTCTACTCTGCTTTCCAGGTACTTGTCCAACTCTGCCTCTCTTTTCACCGCCTCTGGTGATACCTTTGGTGCATTCGGAAAACAGATCAATATCACACTCATGTTGTCTCGACTTCCCTGGTGGAAAAGAAAAAATGATTTGAGAAATGTATACACACCAGGCTAAACACACATCAAAGCATTTTAAATACAGAAATTCACAAATCATATGAGATCAGAATCCAACTTTCACTATTATGGATTAATATTATGGCTAGAATTAATCTCCCTGTACCCCTTACAGAATTCCAGGCCCATTCATTTGGTACAATTCTTCAGTCATTGTTTTTTCCACTTTTATGGTCTGCAGACTACATGGAGCCACTTAAAGACACCCCATTGTCATCTAAAAACTGACATGACTAATGAGTGACGTATAATTACAAAGTTGTGTTCCATCTTTTTTAAGTGCCATCCAATCATTTTGGGAAAACAGCTGTATATGTGAACAAAACCATTACTGCTCAAAAGCACTAATCAGGAAGGTGCTAAATTCAGACAGTAATTCCACTAAAAATCACAGCTATTAGGTTTTTTCTTCTCCTTTTCATTTAAAACATGAAAAGTTGCAAGTGATAGAATTGTTAGAAAACCAGCTGTAAGGTACTCAGATCTTTGCAAAAAATGTTTACATTTAAAACTCCAAATAAATGAACCCCAATACTTGAATACAAACACATTCTGCTTAAGCAAAGTAACTGTTTGGTTTACTTTCAATACCCCTGAGCTTTGGCCTACAAACATGCATCCACAGGCTTAACTTTTAACACTAATTAACTCCACTCATGTCAGCAAGATCAAGAAAAAGCCAGTGTGCAAAATAACAGTATATGGGTATGGGGAGGTGCTGACAGTTGGCTCCTGCAAAGCTTACAGCACTCACATGCCACTGTTCCTTTCCTGGTATTTTCTTTTAGGATTGCCAAAGAAAAATAGTAAACAAAAATATAACCATTATCAATCTGCCAAGGTGTTGGAAAGCAATTACAATTTTCTAGAAGGGAAACAATGATCCTGTTAGCCACGTGGGAAGAGCAGGGATGTTGTCTTGTTTCTTTAGAAAAAAGTTGGCTTTTTTTGCTTTATGACTTCCAGTTTACCTTTGCAAAATAAGTATCAAGCTATGAAACTCAGTAACTGCATCACATTGCAACTTATTAATACAAAGTAGAAGTTAATGCAGACAAAGTTACATAGTTTTGTTAAACCAAACAGTCTCATCTTCATCTACTAGAGCTGGTTTCAGAGCTGTACCACACAACAGTGAGTAAGAAATACAGTAATTAAACCAAAATAAAAACTAACTTAGGAAGCCAGGTCTTCAAAATATGAAGTCAAGGTTCATTGATTCTGCATGTATCTTGATGCAAATATGACAATAATGTTAATACTATGTGCCCAAGGAAGCAGGGGAAGATTAGGAAGGGGAAATACACTCCCTAGCCTGATTAAGTCTTAAGAGTTGAGGTTTTGTAAAGTACATTATGAAACAGAAAAGGGCAGTTATTGTCTTTAGCTTGCCCATAAATTCCCATTAGCTTCTAGTTTTCCACTGATCACAGTGTATCTGTACATGATTAATTAACCAAAACCACCCAGAAAAACATTGTTTCTGTTGTGTGTTCATTCCCCCTCTATCACCATTTTTGTAGGAAACATGGTCATCACTGTCAAAGTCATGTTACCATAAACCACTGAATATTTATAGACTGGAAGAAAAGTTATTATTAGCTTGCTCATAAACTTCTAATAGGGAAAGCACAGTAAACTCCTTCTCTCAAGTCTGGCTACCTTGTACAAGCAGGTGTCAACTATCTCATTGCAAACTTTCTCAAGGTCATCAGTGACTTCAAGTCTGGATCTTACAAAGTCACACAGCTCTTCATTTCCCATAACATCCCAGATACCGTCGCACGCCAGGATGATGAACTGATCGTCTTCTTCTGATCTCTCAATTTCATAAACTTCAGGCTCGGGTGAGACCAGCTGTTCTGTAGGACCTTTCCCATGGACACATTTGTAATCAAAGTCCCCGAGCGCCCTTGAAACAGCAAGGGAGCCATTCACACGCTGAATCATTACGGAGCCACCTGCGTTCTGTATACGCTCCTTCTCCAGCGGGTTACTTGGTTTGTGATCCTGCGTGAAGAAGTGAACCTTCCTGTTTCGACAGAGCAAACCTCTCGAGTCTCCACAGTTGATGAAGTACGTGTGTTGGGGAGAAATCATGACACCCACAGCTGTTGACCCACTTCTGTCTGCGCCATGCTTCTTCTCGGAGATGACTCTCATGTGTTCATCAATTTGCAGAAAACCTGTTCTGATGCCGCTCTTTACACTTTCCACAGATGGTGGCCCATCTGGCCCTTTAAAATCCTGGTTGCTCGTGATGTGATCTAATAAATGCTCACAGCAGTACTTGGCAACCTGGGATCCAGCGTGCCCATCATAGACAGCAAAAAAGGACCATCCATCAAGTCCATTTGGCAAACCAATGACAGCCGTGTGTGCATCCTCCATTTCCACGCGCCAGCCCTGCATACTGCTCAGACCGTAACGCAGCCCGTTCCCCTGCCCCTGGGCGTTATGCTTCTCCATCTTTGGCTTGTCTAAAAATGCTCCCATGGTGACCTTCCTTCAGTTCTACAAAGGAAAAAAACAAGGATTATTAAGATATTTCTTAAATGCCTAGTTTAAAAATCCTGTTGGAAGACATTAAATAATGGTACAAGTCATGCTAAGATGCCCAAAGTACACAGCTATAAAGCTGATTTTTCTGTGTCTCCAGTAAAATTTGCATTGCTTTCATCTAATTGAAACAAGGACACTACTACTAGCTGAACTGCACTTTTCACATTTTTCTATTTTCAGCTGTTTTACTTGAAAAATTTATGTTCACTGTCATTCATGGTTCTGACAAAAGCTCTAATAGAACTATGTATGAAACCAGTTTCAAAGAGGACTTGTTAACTGGCACACATCTGAATGGCTGTTCCCTGCAACTACTGAGCCATGAAAGAGTTCAATGTTTCCAGGACACTGGCATTCCCTAGATCCCTACCTGCTGGCCACAAATTCCTGCTAGCATTGCTTTTCTGGGAGCGATGGGGAAATTAAAGCAAAATGATTAGTTTGGGGTTTTTTTTAAGAAGGGGATTTCAGGGTTTTTTGGGTTCAGTTGTTATTTGGCTTTTTTTAAACAGATAAATTATAAGAATGACCAAGAGGATGCCAGAGTCTGCATAAAGGAAAAAGCAACATGATAAATTAGCAGCAGGACTGGGAAGGAACACAGCAGCTGTCCCTTTAGGCAGCAGCAAGCCATTAGTTTGGCTCAGCCATCTTGTGAAAGCTCATCCTTAGATTTTCGGTTAAATTACGCAGCAGCTTCTCAGATGTCTGTGCTGCAGATTTACTTAAAACCCTCATGTATTCATGCTTCACTGGAAGACAACTGCCCCTGACAAGTCTGAGGAAATCTGTTTGGAAATAAAATCACGTGTATTGTATATTCTTGTGTGAATCAAGATTCAAGCCAGACCCATACACAGCACCCTCTCCTCCTTCACTTCCTCCCTGGGATGTGATGCAGCGAATATTCATGCTTAAGAGAGTAAGAGTTATATTAGCAGGCAGTATAAACTGACTGGTTTATCTTCATGGCTTTCACACCCTAACCATCCAACCCACCCTTCTAATCCACATCACTTTATTTGTGCATTCATTATTAAAAAGTCATACAAAACAGGTCACACATTTTACATACTTGCAAATTATGCCTTGGGAAGCATCAAAAGAGTCTGCAAATCACTGTTACACAATACAAAGTAATGGAACAAAACTATGAGCTTTTCTGTTTGAAGACTCTGGACAAAAATTAGCTGTGAAAAGAACCTCAGAAACAGATTTTACCTGAGGCCCCAACTAACAGCTACACTAGCAGAAAAATCAGTACACCAGGGGTTTCAGTACACCAGGGGTTTCAGACATGTTTAGCTTGACCATGGAATATATTTGATTAGTTTTCTAAGTGACAACATCACGTTTTTATAACATGCTTTTATTGCAATACAGCACCAGCCATTAGTGACACCATATATCCAACAAAGCTCTTCACACTGTCTCTTCCACTGTCAACCTTTCTGAAACATCTGTGTTAAAATAAACAGTCAAGAAATGTTTATATTTGATCTCACCACAACAGTGATTCAAATGTGAGGCATGGGGACTGGTTATGCACTCTTTGGCTCACATGCTTTGCTAACAAAAACAAAACACATACTTCAGCTGTAGGGGGATGGCAGCAGCAATTCACCTCTGCTTCCCCTCACCCTAAACCCTGCTCTGGAGTTCTGTCTCTTCTCAAGTAAACACGAAATACTGATGCCCAAGCAAGCTGTAACTAACCAACAAAACAGAGTGTGCACCATGTGTCTTGTGTCCCAAGCACATGCAGGAGGTTCACATTACTGCAGTTGCTAGGAAAAAAATACGACTTAAGACTTTTTTATCTTCACATGCAACTCTAGTGAAGTCAGAGTGATCAAAATAATTACAGAATGCTGCAATAAATCACATGGGTAATTATTTTGCTGAATAACACTTTTTATTCATTCTATGATAGGAGCAGAGTTTAACACTGAATGTTCTTTTTGTTGAGGAGATCATTAAACAGAATGCAGATATTCAACTTTTTTACCTTAATTTAAAGCTCAAAAAGCAGAAACTGCACTAGCAAATATACTTCCGTACAGTATTTGACATTATTGCTGAATTTAAAATAAAACAGGAAAACATTAAGACCAGTGTACAGTTACACTGACAACACTGTCGAAATCTGGACTAAAAAGGGCCTTTTTTCTCCTAATCTCTCACCTTAGTATGCACACAACATTCAGAGCTATGCTTTGTAAACTGTTTGTCCTGCTCAGTAGTTTATCATGCAAATTAGAAATATGTACAGACAATCTGTGTGAAGTTCTAACAACTACAGAACTGCCAGCACACCTTCTAAGTTAACAAATCACTCTCCATTTAAGTACCAAATTGCCTTATCCCTTCCCAGAGGGAAACCTGAAAGCTGGAGGTCCTTGAAGCTAAGCTCTGTAGGTGAGATGTTGATTCAGGATTCTTCAGGAGTGAGAGTTGCCCACCATGGATGAGAACACAGCTGGGCAAAAGGAAAACCACGGTGTGGCCATGGAACAACTCCTTCAGAAACTGCCCACAGCAGGAAGTGATCCCCCTCTGAAAACTGCAATAACAGACTGCAGTTGTCTTCCCTGCCATATTCCAGCTAACCAGACTTTTACCAGAATAGCAGTCTAAACCTGGAGAATAGGCCAGGTTTTCAAAACCCTCACTGTATCTGCTGAAAAAGCATTGTTTATTTGTGGATAAGATGAATGTGCCAGATCTTCAGTTTTTTTCCCAGAATTCCAATTCTCATTCAGAAAAAATTCAGTTAAAACTGACCCATCTGTGAATTCTGATGAATTGGAGACTACCTGCTACTTCTCCCTCCCCATATCCTTAATGTGTAATTAAAACCTAAAGAATTTCAAGAGTCTTAGCTACGAACAAAATGAATCTTAAGGTTTACAAGAAGGTATGGACACACACAGAGAAATGCTGACATAAGAAAGCCATTTCTCCTTCCTGCTAGAAATACCTTTCAGATCTGTTTTTGAGTCCATATCTACAGAAACATCTTTCACACATCAGTGTCTACCTAAATTATGAGCACATTTGTCATTCTTTGATGAGGTGCTGTGTGCACTCAGTGACTGAGTTGGAATGACACCTTTGGTTAAGCACATAACTCCGTATGCAAATCTGATTAACCTATAGCAGTGTAAGTGCCCAAGTTACAGCATGACTTTGTTATGTAAAAACACAGACCCAGAACACGCGTGCAATAAGTGCAATACATAAAACAGATCCTGACCATGGCTTAACTCAGCCTCTCTTCATGTCTTTAGTCATCTTTCTTAAGAGAAGCCCTCATTTTATGATCTTTATTCTCCAAAGAATTAATCCAGTCACACATTTCTATGACCACATCAGAAAACTGCAGTCTCATGGCAGGAGACAGAACCAGTCCTCTACCCTGGAAGCCTCAACTTTTGGAAGCCTTGACTGATGCACATATGTAGTGAAGGAGACAGACATTCTTCCTGTTAAAGGCAAAGTAAGAGAAAAGGCACTTTAATCATGAAGTTTAGTGGCAAAATACACCACCCTTTTTTTTTTCCTTAAAGCAGGAACATTCTGAACAGGACTGTAAGGGTGGTGCCTTGTAAAAAGATCAGAGGTGCAACATTTTTTTCATAAATGGTGATTCTCACACATCATCTGGTGCTACAACTGCACAGCCATCAGCCAAGCAAGCTTCAATTTTAATCTAAGATGATTCCTGGATCACCATTTCCAAATCAGTGACTTCCATTAGTTTTAGGTCCCAAAAGACAAGAGCTTTCTGCAGTCCAAGTTTCTGGGTTTTGGCTCTGAAGAAGAGAGAAGCATCTGAAGAAAACTACATGTGAAAATGGACCCCTGTGAACAGAAATGAATGTGCAGGGGGGCGTCTCTGCATCTACAAGTGCATTTTAACCACAATTTCTGAAACACTGATTTTGTGGAGGTCAAACTGAAGGACAGCCTCTCCAGCAAGTGCACAGAAATCTCAAATTTCCAGACAGAAAAGTAAGAATACTGCACACAGCCTAGAAAAATCAACACAAATAACAAGGTCTTGGATAAAACACAAGAGTGCCAAAATTCAAAGGACTGCAGCATTAGAAACAAAACTGAAATAATGAATGGAGCATGCCAAAGAGTCAGCAGCTAAACTCTGAACTCCTTGAAAGTAGATGCAACTGGAGAACAGAGTGGCAAAGAAAAAGGAGGGTAATTAGTATACCAGGCCATGGACAACCAGGGACAACCACAGATACATCACTGGAATGCATGAAATCTCTTTGCCCCTTCATTTGTTCCTCAAATTGTGCTATCCAGGCAGCACAACTGTAATGCTTTCTGCTACACAGGAAAATAAATTTTACTGGTTTGCTATTTGCATGTTTATTTGCCTGAAGGTTCAAACGAAGATAAGCCCTAAATTGTTCACAAAAGACAGTTAATGCAATTCCACATACCCCTAACAGAAATATAAATTTATTTTTCCAAGGAATTTGGACAAAGATTTGATCATTTTGTCCCAGAAAACAAACCACCCCCATCTGAAACTTTCACTTGAACAATATGTAAATTAATAATCCTTTTTAAACAATGTTCAAGCTGTATTCCTTCCACTAGGATAAGCTGCTTACATGAACCACACTGAAGTCACAGGCACTTGTTCTAACCGAGTTGAGAAATACCCCCACACTCCAATTTCCTGGAACAATTCTCTCAGTGACACTACACCCTGTGTGTTGTAATGAGGACCATAGAGAAAGATTACAACCTTTACTTGAACTACAGGACACAGAGCAAGTCACCAAATTATACAGACTGCTACTGACTAGAAAAAGGGTGTTTGTTCACTTCAACTCCAGCCTGATCTGCAGCACTTTTCCCTCTGCCTTAAGCAGGCTGGATGCAGTAGCAGACAGCATGTAATTGTGCAAACGTGGAAACAT